TTCTGTTAGCTGCCACAACAGAAAATAAAATTAAAACGAAAATGAAGCTTTCATTTCTTGGAAAACAAAACCTGAAAAAACCTTGTTTAGCTGAGAATTTTGGTCAGTTCCAAAGCTGAGTTCTGAGAATGAAAACCTGTTTAGTTGCTTCATTCTGTTTTCTGATTCTTAATTATCATACAACCCTAGCCATGATTATAATTTTTAATTCGAATTAAATAGTTTTTAAACTACAAATAAACACAATACAAGTACAACATCTTATATTAATTAAGTACTAGTACAACATAAAAATTCAAATAAGTCCAGCTTGAAAGTCATACCACAACTTGTTCGTCATTCCATCGCATCATAATCCATTGCTCGAGTTTGGCTTGAACTGAAATTATACACTTCCCTTTCTGGTCCTTCTTACACAATCATTGTTGTTTTTACCATCATTGTTCTCCATTGCTTATCAAACTACCATTCAAACAAGAGGCCCTCAACAAATTAGGAACAAACAAGAAACGACAAATCATATCAAACACTTCACCAATTGGCAATGTATCATTCTAGCAACAAGTATGCAGAACCAAGGGCAAATAAATTGCAAACAAACAAAAGGTCTACCAAATGATAAACAAGAAGCAAACCATTCCTCTGCAACCCAACTCTAAACCCAATTGAGAGTCTTCCCATGCCAACCCACCACGCAGTCTGTCTGCTCCAAAAAGCAGAAAAATTAACATGAGATTAATTAATCACTTCCCCTACCTACTCACATTATAATTAATCTCGTGTTTGTTTCTATTGTGATAATTTGACTTCACGCCGGAGAGGAGGCTGCTGGGGAGAGGGAAGTTCGGTTGTTTCGAGGGAGCTTCACGCCGGAGAGGAGGCTGCTGTAGCAGCTGGGGAAAGGACGGTTGCTTGATGTTTTCCGATTGGAGGTGGGAGAGAGGCTGGACGAGGGAACGATTCAATATTGCTGCTGCTTCTTCTCTTCGCCGGCTGGAGCTTCTCAGAGAGAAATGATAAAGATGAGAGTCGGGGCTGCTGGTTGTCCGGAGGGAGTTAAGGTTCCAACTTCCAATGCCAAAAACGACACAAAAAGTCAGCGTCTAGGAGCAGCAGAGAAAAGAAGAAAAAAAGCGGACGAGGGGAATCGAACGTGAAACCTCATTAATGAATAGTGAGCCTCCTCCGCTCGGAAACGGGAATAACCCGTCCCCCTGTTTTCACAAAACGTCTATTTATTGTTTCCCCACTGCTTTCTCATTTGTGACAATTGGATTTTTCCAACGAAAATGAAATGAACATGTGAACACGTTTTTTGGCATTTGTTTCTTGATTTTCATTTTTTAAAGAAAAAACAGAAGACAAAATGGGAAGTGAACAGGGCATTATCTTTAGAAATTTCTTAAATTCTCTCAACTTTTACTATTCCTTTCAAACCCACTTTTCTATATATACCATTGACATCACCGTCTTTTCCTTATCTCAGTTATAGTGCTTCAATTTCTATTCTTATATACATTAATTTATTATTTCTTCCAAATATCTTAAATCTGATTTCATCATATTCCATATATCTAGAGAGGCCACGGATGCGGATAAAATGCTCCATCAATGGGATTACTCGAGCTTTGAGATTCAGACCAAGTTATAAGACACGGTTGTCAACCACTCTAACAACTCCAATTCAAGCCAATTATAACCCAAGTTGGCAAAGTACTATAGAAGTGAGCCTCGAGGTCGTATTTCCAAAGGCACCTTAGGTTTACTATTAATTCGCTCTAAACTACTATCTCATACATCAAGAATGGTTGTTTTAGGAACTAACTTAAATAAAACTAGACAGAAGAGCAACAAACTAGTTATGAGGTTGTTAGAGACGAGATAGTTGCTTAGGATCGAATCCCTGTAGTATTAGGACATGTAGATAATTGATGCAATGTTTAGCCCGACTTTCCTATCTTTTCAGTTGCGAGAAATCCCTTAGTCTAGTGGTTGGTGCAATGATTATGTATCCCAACCACACTTCTTGGTCTCAAAACTAGCTTAATGGGTAACTAGCTAGATACCTAGAGCATTAGGTATAGACTCTCAATTGGGATTATTACCTATGAAAGTGGAAATTTGACTCAATGATCATGGAATCCGAATCCCACAATACTTGATATAAGTTCCAATCTTGACCTAGGGGGATGATCACTTCAACCTAGATACAGGTCAAAGCAATAAGTACCTTTATTAAAGCAGGATATTGGAAAGATTAAACATCAAATAGGCATAGACGAAATCATGGCTATGTTCACATTTAATCAACAAAGCCTAGCTACATACTACAATTCACTCCCCTAAACAACTATAGGATTTTAAGTCATAAAGAGAGATATGAGATACAAATTAGTGAGACAAGACTAGTTTGAAATCATCATCTTCTTCTTCTTGGATTACACCTCTTCTCTTTGACTCTTGGATGGATTATTCATTCCTTAGCTCTTGCAACGTATTTTCTCAGAAAAAACTGCCACAAACGCTAATTTCTCAATCTAGATCGCCTTTCCTTTGTCAAGTGCAGAAAAGGGTGTTTTATAGTCTGTTGCGGCTGTGACGTGAGGGGTAGTCAATGCCTGAGGATCTGACACTTGATTAAACGAAGCACATAAGACAGGCCAATGACCATGACATGTAAAACATTGCCAAATTGTTGTTTTTCCTCCGCCTCTTGACTCGTTCACGGGTTTTGAGTTCCCAACTTTGACCTCTAAGATCACAACCATGATCTCAAAGCATGGTTGTGATCTTTCTTGCGGGTAAATTCTTCTTGGCAGCGAGTCGGGCAGCAAAACATTTTGTTCGTTTTTGCATCAAGGACACACTAAGTTCACGGTTACGATCTACGACGAGTACAAGACATGGACCATCATAAGATTTTTTTTCTTTGGATCTAACATATTTTTGCAGTTCAGGGAGGCGAGGTTAGGGTTAACCTAGTTCCAATTCCCAGGGAACAAGGAAACTCAATGAAGCTGATAACAACGAGGTTCCCAGTTGGCCTCTCTCGTCGAATCGTCTACTTAAGCTATGTTTTCTTTTCCTTATAAGTACACCAAAAATCCTTAGATTTTGAATGAAGCTTGGTAATGTCAATTGTCGATTTAGATTTTTGTCGACATTAGAGTGTTTTCCAATTTTAGCAAAGAAATTAAGAGCGTGGGTGTAGGGCGGGGAAAATCGCCCTGTGCAGGATCGGGCATTGGCTCGAGGAACATGGTCCCACAATAGGTCTTGGTCCAGGGCAAGCCTTATCAACCTTGTCATTCATAGTTCATTGTGATTTACAAAATAATATTCATTCTTTTATATTTTGATGAAAAAATAATTTGTACCAACCATTAACTCAATTTTCAAAAAGATTTATATATAAGGAATAAGTTTATCATGATTTATTGCAGTGTTCAAGAAGACGCGCTTAGGTGCGATTTGTTTCTGGGCAAGAGGAAAACGTGGAGAATAGCCCTGGGCGTGCAAAATGCAGAATTGCGTGGGAAAACGGCTAGGCGACGATTAGGCGTTCGGAGGCGCGATTCCCCTTTGTTGGGCGACGCCCAGAACAGGTAAAAAAGGGGGCGGGGGGAAAGTTCTTCCTTTTTTCTGGATGCCCCGAAACCCCAATCATACCCCTTTCATTTCCATTCGACATATCAACATCCCTCATTACCCAGCAACGATTAAGCGCCGTCCTCCACGTTAGTGATCAGCGTCATCGACCTCGCCATCGACCAGATTCGTCGTCGCCATTGCAATAGCGCCGTCCTCACCATTGTAACAGTGACGTCCTCGCAGTAGTCCTCGACATCTCTCGTTGTTGTCCTCGCCATCTCTCTCCAATCGCCGTTATCACAACACACAGCGGGTCGACAACACAAGTGTGGCTAGTTTGGGATGAATCCGATTGATTTTTTAGACTGCAGCTGTTGTGTTTTATTTGTTTGTTTAAGGGAGGGTTGTTGTTGTTTAAGTGATTTAGAGACTAAATCAATCCAATTGATTTGTAGGCATTAGCTATTGCATTTTGTTTGTTTATTTTAAGGAGGGTTGTTGTTGTTTCATTTGTTTGTTTAAGGGAGGGTTGTTGTTGTGCTATAACTTTTGAATTATGATTGTACTCTCCGTTCGCATGAATGAATGATGGACTCTATGTTTGTAGGGTTGAATGGATTGACATATATGAATGATGCACTTATCTTAACATTTGTCATGTTTTGTTATGTTTGTTTCATTTAAACTTGAATGTTGGTTATCTTGGATATTGTCAGTTACAGAACTGCAAATCAATGAACTTATGTATGTTATGTTCGATCTTGCACGCTAAACTTAAATATCTATCATATTTTTTTCAATGTTTAATCTGGTCTAGGTAACGAATAATCGCCCTAGGTGTTGGGCGGTGCCTCCCCGCCTAGTTAGCGCCTAGCACCTTCTTGAACACTAATTTATTGTGATCTACAAATTTACGAGAAAAAAATTTCCAGAACCAAATATACCAACTTGGTATAGAGTGTTTGTCACATAATATATACATAATGGTTGTCACGCCGGTGGCGTGCCGGTCGGTTGAATCAGGTGTGTAAGGTTCAACCGATGCCAGTCATAAAACCGTTGTGAACACGAGTGATATGATCGGCATGATGGATTTACTACCTCTAAGTGAAATGACGTCGTTTTAGTGAATTAATTAGTCAATCAATAAATTTATTTATTTATTTTATGAATTTAAAAGTTCAATGTTAATGTTATTTGTTGGATTCAACATTTAGATATATTTTAGTTAAATATAAATTTGTGTTCAAACTTCAAATATATTTTATTTATAATTAAATTTGACGTTATTGATTTTCTCATTTTTACTTGTTAAACCAAAAATCCGGTATGAACAGGCACAAATCATTATACCACTAGTAAAACCATTGGATTTGCCAAACCAGCGAAGATATAAACCGGTTTGACACATTATACAACCATTCTATGAATCGCTGCCGCTTCCAAGCTATATCTATAACGCCGTTGGCTGGAACCAAGTTTTCTTTCCCTTGCTCTGAATCCTTCTGAACTTAGAAACAAGCCACAAACTGAGCTTCTGTGTCAATCTACCACACCTCGATGAACAGCGACCGCAGTCGTCACAGGCGCGAACCCATATTATAACGGATCCTTCACTGATTATTCTTCGGAAGGGAAGGACTGAATTTCTAGGGTTTTCTTTCTTTACTTAATCTCTCAATTGGGGTATATTTCATGGCGATGGAGGGGGCCAGCAATGGAGGGATGTTGTATCACGAGGTACAGGAATCGAAGCTCTGCGCCGTGCATTGCGTCAACACCGTCCTCCAGGGTCCTTTTTTCTCCGAATTCGATTTGGCGGCGCTTGCCTCCGATCTCGATACCAAGGAGCGCCAGGTCATGTCACACGCCGGCCCTGCTCCTCCTGCTGCCGGCGGCGATTTCCTCTCTGCGGAGTCTCACAATGTCTCCATGGGGGGAGATTTCAGCATCCAGGTGAATAATCCTGAATCTGGCTAACTACTCCTCTACCTACTCTTTTCTCCCTTGTCTTTCCATTGCCTGGACGTCAAGATTAATTCGCATGCACCCTTTATTCTTGTTCTCCCCGTGTCTCTATTGTCCTCAATTTCGTCAAAAATTGCGTTACCTGTCTACAAGCTTTGAATTTAGGGCCTGTGAGCATTGCTTAGATTCGCAGTTTTTGCTCTAGGTGGTAGCTTTTCTTTATGGTTCTGCTTTCCTTACGACCATTTTGTCAATTTTCTGCTGCGTAGAATACACGTTTATCGATCGGCTAGTTGATTTCTTGCTCGCCGAGCTAATTATGGGAACTTTTCTCTTACTGTGAATTGTGAATTGTCCTTTCCCTTTGTCCCATTGAGCAGTTGAACTACGATTTTAAACTTCCTTGACTGGTTTTTAACTGCCCAAGAGGCAGTCATCCGTGCATTTATTACGCACCCTTGTGCCTGCCCAAATCCTGAGTTTTTTGTATGAATCCCTTGCCGGTTTTGTAATGCTCGATTAATTTCAGCTGCTATGGCTTCATCCGTTTGATGATGCAAGGGTTCGCAGTTCATCGAATGAAGGATTATTTGTTAAAGCTCTGATCTAGATGACGGCAGATTATGTTTCTCTGGCATTTGTCAAGAGGGATTGGTTGCCGTGGCTTTGGATTTCTCTATAGAGTCGATTCTATTTGTGACATTGAGCAGTCAAAGAAGCATAATAAAAGATTTGTTTGGCTTTCTTATAATTGTCCAAGGACAAACATTGATTCATTTATTACGCCAATAAGGCTGCGCAAATCTTGAATTTACTATTGGAACCCCTTGCCAATTTCGGAATGCTCCACTACTTTTTGCTGCTACGACTCTTTCTGTTTGATGAAAGCAAGGGTTGGCGGTCGATGGAACCGAGGGTTTTTCCCCGTTAAATAACTGATCTTTACAAGCTGGATTATGTTTCTGTTGTGTTTGTCACGGGGGATTGTTTGCTGTGGCTCGGATTTCTTTACAGAGTGAAATTGTGAGAAAAATCATGTTATCAACTGATAAGAGACGACATTCTTATGAAACCGTGCAGAGTTTGGCCATCAACCTTAGTTTTGAAGAACTGCAATCTGTTTAAATGGTGTTTTGAAGTAGGTTATGATGAAGGGTTACCTGTCGATATTCTGTGATGTGGTACTACATTCTCGTGTGTTTCAGAATGCAAATGTGCTTTGATTTTATATAATCTTGCATCTTTCTTGTCTTTTTGTTTATGGTATGCATACAAATGAATAGAACAATTTTGTTCCAGCAGCTCAGTTTTTGCTTTATGTTTTCAAGATGCTTAATCCCTAGTTCAATTAGGGTGAGGATGCAGAATTGATCTTTGTATTGGTACATAAAATTGACATTCAAGTGAATTACACCACACTATTGCATTCTAAATGATATGACTTTTGCTTTCCTGTTGAAACTAGGTTATATCATTGAGGTGTATCCTTTGTGGAGAAGTTCGACATTTGATATAGTCATTGTGCTTGATCTTGCTAGTTTGGATGCCATTTCTTGGTGTCTAATAAGTGCTGTGGACGGCTTGTTTTATTTGGTTATGAATGAATTCCTCTGTACTAGGAAGGAGTGATACTGTAGCTTACTCCATTGCACATGCACATGTTGTGGCTTTCTTGAGTGTAATCCATTAGAAGTTGTTTGGTTTAACCCAAAGACCCCCAAAGAGACACGAGTTTCTGGAAGGTAAACAACTTGATTGATCCCTAAGTTACTGCCAAAGGGAGATCCACCTATCTCTGGTAGACGATTTGGCCCTTAAGTTTCCGCTTTTTTCTTCTTCTTTCATTTCCTTGGTAAATTTGAAAGGCTATTGAACACCATCATCAACCTAGTTAACTATCAAATACTTGCTGCTGTGAAACTTATTTGATGAGCTACATGTAGACTTTGTACCAGTTCTAGACAAAACTGATAATTATGCCCTAGTTCATGGATTAGTAGTCTAAATTCAGCATTTTGACTAAGTAATTCATTCCTTGCTTCCCAGGTTTTGCAAAAGGCATTGGAGGTATGGGACCTGCAAGTCATTCCCTTCAGCAGTCCGGTGGCCGAGCCAGCACACCTGGACCCTGATACAGAAAATGCATTCATCTGCCACTTGCACGACCACTGGTTCTGCATCAGGAAAGTGAACGGGGAGTGGTATAACTTTGACAGTCTAGGTGCAGCCCCAGTGCACCTGTCAAAGTTCTATCTCGCAGCTTACCTGGACTCCCTGAGAAGCGCTAGCTGGAGCATATTCCTGGTGAGAGGCAACTTCCCTCAGGAGTTCCCTATCTCGTCCTCTGAAGCTTCCAATGGCTATGGCCAGTGGCTGTCTCCTGAAGACGCTGACAGGATCATAAAGTCCTGTTCTGATGCACAGGATGTGCAGGATCCTAAGCCCCTCAGCATCGTCCGACCGGGTACGGACTCGTACGAGGAAATGTGGTCGCAACGAGAAGATGAGGATTTGAAAGCTGCAATTGCTGCTAGCTTGATGGATTCAAGTGCTGCCAGCAGCAGTGCCTTGAAAGACAAGGAACCGGAGCACAAAGAGCCTGTTGGCTCGGGGAAGGAAAAGGAAGAGGCTGCAAAAGACGAGGCAAAGGAGACCAAAAAAGATAAAGCAGAATGAGAAGAGAGGATTTGAAGGATTGAATTTGAAAAGGAACATCATTTTAGAGAATTCAGTTGAACTGTACACAGAATACACAGATCTTACAATTTTTCTTCTTTTTCTACTGTGTTTCTCGGTTAGTTTTTCTTTCAGATTAGTGTTGCGAAGGACCTCCTCAGTTTTCCTCATGTATACGCAGTTTTCTGTCATTACTCATTACTCTTAGTTGCAGTGCTGCACAACAATGTCTGCTTTGGTTTCCTCTTCCGTCTCGCCTACTCAAACCGCGGAAGCATGCATATTGGACTGTTGAAACCAGCAAGAAATGGCCTCATCTGCGAACGACCGTTAACCTTTACGACCGCCGGTGAGTGTTAAGAGTGGCCAGCGAAACTCGGCCAGTTGACGTTGTTGGGAGAAAGGCGGATTCATGTAACTGTCCGTCTTTGGTTCTTTGCCCAATCAAAGGAAACAAAACATAATAATTGAAATATAAATCATTACATCCTCGCAACTAACCAGGCCTGAAAATCAAAGGAACGACATGTAGTCGAGTAAAAAGAGAGAGCCTTTAGATCCACCAGATGGGCTACCCTTACTACTCCGTCCTACAAATCGTACACTAAATCCAGTGTGAATAGCCAAACATTGGACGACCTCATGAAAGATGGCTCCAGCCTAGCTATCACGAACATTCGCCATATTGATTTTATCGATGACCATTTTAACATCGCCTCTCAACCGTGCCTCAGAGAAATCGTTTGCCAGGCACCACTGGATGGTCTCTCGAAGAACCAGGAGCTCAACGACCATGGATCATCTATCCCGTTAAAATGAATCCATTTAACCAAGAGGATCATCCCAACTTGGTTTATGAAAATCATACCCCCAGCCTAATGGGATCCCTTTTTCGTCGCTCCATCCTACATAGGCACATACAGATAATCGAGCTAGGAAAACCGTGATTCAAGTGACTCTCCTCTCCTATGGGATGGCAATCAAAGCATAAAGGTTGGTTCTTTTATGTATTTATTTTTTTTCCCGTTGAAAATTGGAAAACAAGAAAGCTGGAAAGGTAAAAAAACCAACGGGCGGAGTGGGCACTTTTAGGCTGGAAACTCAGCCCACCACCAACTGCAATCTATCAACACTCGCCATCGTAGAACATCACATCATCTCCACGGGACCTCTATGAATCTGAGTGGAAAAAATTCCATGGAGAGAAGGCTTTGATTGGTGGAGGGTTTTCGATAAAGAAAGCCTGATAGACGCCATTGATCGTCTTTTTTCCCTTCTTTTCCCGTTTCCTTTCTCTTTTCATCGTTTCTCTGGAGATCATCGTCGTAGCCATTTGCCCGGGGAGATCTGACTCCTGGATTCAGGAACCCATCTCTGAATTATCGTTTGACCCAAATGGATTCATCGTCGGATCCATCGTTTACCCGACAAAGAAATCTTCATCAAATCCTTGGAGAAGGTTTAGGTAAAGTTGATTCCTTCCCTCCACCCCGTGACTACTTCCATTTTGATCTCGAGCATTTTGATCCTGAGTTGATATTGCCCGCGAGATCTTTGATGTTTTGTGGAGCCCAATGATGTGTATCCGTGATTATGAATGTCCATTAGAATTAAAATCATTTCCTGATATCTGACTGTGATTGATCTAATGTGGATATTGGGTTTGTGCCAAAATTGTGGGATCAAGAGCTCTAAGATAAGCTGTCTCTCTAGCAGTTGCTGATGTAGTACTATGGAGGCAAAGCAACATCTCAGCCGGGATATTACTAGTAACAGTAGCTTCTTGGGTGGTTTTTGAGATCTCTGGCTACACTCTTCTCTCACTTGTTTCTAGTGTGCTTCTCCTCCTTCTCGCCATTCTATTTCTCTGGGCCAAATCAGCTGCAATTCTCAACAGGTAATTTATACTCTCTTCTATTCAGTTTTTTTCTTCTTCTAATCTTGGGTACTCTTTGAAAATGGTTGCATCAAACCTCCCAATGGCTTCACAAAACTTGCAGATAATGACTTGTGAAAATGTTTGGTCTTGCCTCTTTTAATAAAAAGCAGACCTCCTCCGCCTCTACCAAAGTTGCAGCTCTCAGAAGAAATGGTGAATCAAGCTGCAAATTTGTTCAGAACCCATGTGAATGAGCTACTTGCCGTTTCTCAGAACATTGCTCTGGGGAAAGACACAAAGCTCTTCTTCAAAGTGGCTGCATATCTCTTGCTAATAGCCATTGTTGGTGGCATGACTGATCTTCTCGCGTTGGGCTACACTAGTAATCATTCCATTTCCCCCTTAATTCCCTTTCACATTAAGTGTAAAGTTCTGTATTTCCTACACTATTTCCCATTGAATAAACATATGTTGCGTGCTATATGATTTGCAGGTCTGCTGATGATTTTGACCGTGCCAGTACTGTACGAGAGATATGGGGATGATGTTGATAGATACGTTAAGATGACTAGCTACGAGTTACAGAAACTGTATAACAAAATTGATGTGGAGGTTATTGGTAGAGTGAAAAAATGTATATTGGAGAAGCAGAAACTAAGTTGATTCCTTCCATTTTACTTCTTTTTTCTTTTTCTTTTCCAATTTGGCTGTGTCCTTCGAGGTGCTGAGTGATGAATGAATAGGCGCTCTTTTGTGGGTCTGGTAGCTTTGCTGATTCTTCCTTCTCCCTCTTCCGGGTTTTGTTTTTGTGTCCTGGGCCAGCAGTTTTTGGTTTTCCTGGTGTTGGCTTGCAAAACCTCAATACATATATAGAAGCTATAGACAAAACAAGAGAAATGGCTACCTCGACAGCAAACTGTCTTCTGTTTTTTGAATCTTTTCCAGTCTCGATCCTGTTATTTTATATTCTGTTTAATGGGGGGAAAACTCTTGATCTTGAGAGTTAATGTTTTATCTTTCCCCAGTAATCTTCTTTTCTGTCTCCTGTAATCTAAGTTCTTATAGGATAGGACTATTGTAATCTGATTGAAGTTAGGGATGGAAAGCTACTTGTGATTAGGGGTAGGAATCGGTCGATTCGGTTCAGAATCGAGTCTATTGAGATTGGACTGGAGAAAAAACAGAGGAAAAATGATGACTAGAACCGGACAAAAAACATGTTTGGTTCGTTTGATTCGACTTAGTCTAGTTTAGATTCGACTTCTGTCAATTTTTTCATTATTCTTTAAAATAATTTGTAGGACCAAAACTGAATTGAAATATATTCGATCCGATCCAATTCGGTCCAAATATTGATTCGGTGCGGTGTGAACCAGATCGTTACACACCCCTACTTGTGATTGTAGTTTGCAAAGGCTCGTATGTATAGTACCTTTTTGTTTTTTTATAAGAAACGAATATCTAGCCATGATCTTTTTTTGTCATTAGATCACTCCGGAAAGAGGTGGAAAGCAAGATTTAAACATAACTAGTATATGTAACTATTGAAACATAACTAAGTAGTAGTAATATTGAAGCTCGGAACTGTTAGAAGTGATCAAATAAGGTATTAGTATGACGAGCCATCAAATTGGTAACTCTATTACAATTGATCGATGAACCAAAAGCCAAAACTTGGAGAAGAATATAAGAGGCCGCCAATTTGGAGGGCTCGATAGTGTTGCATGATAGAAACATACCCTTAAGGTTTTTAATATATTTTATGAGGGATTATGGGATTTTGGTAAATCACAAGAATTAGATGAAACATAAGAGAATTTTTCAGGTTATATATTCTGTAGTTGTATAGAAGAATTCATTAAGCAATAACATAACAAGTATTTCATAAACCTAATTATCTCTCTCCTCTTAATTTCGTTATCTCTTTCTCCCAATTTTCCTCTCATTCGTCTTCTTCCTCCAAATTGTCTGAGAGACTCTCTTCTTCTTCCCCAAATTCTACTTCTAATCCTGCTTGAATTCTACCCATATTCTCTCCAAATTAATGTCTTATCCCTAATGTCACATGCATAAAAGCAATTTGTCTAACAATAGTATCTAAGTTTGGTTGGGAGCCAGGATCCTTACATAGAGAAGAAATCTTTGGAGCAAGCTTTGTGAGTAGGGATGGCAATGGGGCGGGTTTGGGGCGGGTTTATCTAAACCATCCCCATCCCCATCTTCAACTATCCAAACCCATACCCGCCCCATACCCATGCGGGGGAATGTTCGGCAAATCCATCCCCATACCCGTGGGTTTCGGGTACCCATGGGTAATACCCGTACCCGTACATCCAACACTATTATCCAAAAATTCACAAGAAAAGTTTTAACTAAAACTCTAAACGTACCTATTATATCACGAATTAAACAAAACACGATCATTTTCTTAATATGGTTCAAAGAATATGATCCTAAAACATTCATTAATACATAATATAGAGTATAATATTTTTCAAATTATTATGTTCTAACTCTTATACATCTACTAAGTAATAATTAACTAACATAATCTTGTTGACAAGGGGGAAAGTGAAAAAGTGAAAGGAGAATTGAGGGAAATGAATTAGGTTTTGATTAAAGTGGTCACTCAATTGCATTTCTACTATTTATTTCCTTGAGTTATCCTCATCACCATTGATAGATTACAATTTGATCCACATGTTTTTGTATATGTGAAGAAATTCTCTTGGTGGGGCGGATATGGGTATGGGTATGGGGCGGGGGAGGCTAAAACCATACCCGCCCCATACCCATCAAATTTTTTGCGGGTTTTACCCATACCCGCCCCATACCCGGTCAAAGCGGGGATTACCCGCGTTGACTGGGTCGGGGGCGGTCGGGTACCCGCGACCATGGGTTTGATTGCCATCCCTATTTGTGAGATACTTTAGAGCTTGAAGATTTTACTAGTAGAAGGATTCAAGAAGGTGATGGTGATGATGATGGATCATCATATCAAGCTTGACTACCCACTTAGGGGTCGTTTGGTAAGCATGTAATCTACCCACGATTTCAAGATTACATGATATCTGTGATTTCACTGTTTTTCTTGTTTTATTTTTGGACAGATATCATGATATTGGTGCACCATGTAATTCTAGAATTCATGTGACCATGATATCTCAAATGCTTTGGGTTTACCCAAAGTATTTGAGATTTCATGCCAAATTATGTGGGTTCTACCATGAACTCATGCAAGCCAAACAATGCATTCTAATATTACACAAGTTCTCACAACTCAACCTACAATATACATGAATTCTTCAAATACATGAATTCTACATTACGTGCTTACCAAACGACCCCTTAAGGATATTGTGTCTACACTCTGCACTTAAGAAAAATGCATAGAAGGCTAGTGAAAGACATGAAGGAGAATGAAAAAATCATGTTGGTGATCCGAATCTTGATGAACAGGGCACCAAACCTCCACGCAACAGCCTTGAAACAACGAGAGTGATCATATCATCACTCACTATGGCTCAAGCAGTCGAGGAAGTAATCAATGACAAGGAGGACAATGATGACGCTCAAATTGTAGTGTTTATCACTCCCAATAATGATACATTTTCCTTATATCGATGCATCTTTAGCTTCTTTGAGATATTATATGTGGATTTCCTAACTATTTTATCAAACTGCATAATTTAGACCTTGAGTGTACTTTTGTACTATTTTATGCCTTTTTGTGTTATTTTGTGAATGTCAATGATATAATATACTAAAGAGGAATATGAATATGCATCATTAATGGACCAGACGAAGGACGGGAATACAAGCTCGTGAATCAGATGCTCATTTGATGGCTCATAGAACCAGATTTATGAAAGCTAACTGGCCAAATGATGTCTGATTGAGCTAAAATTTGAGGAGCCAAAGATGAAGCAGCCCATAATCCCAATTGGAGAAGGAAAATTCACAGTGGTGACCTAGCAGGCAGAACCGCCATCGGGTTAAATCAATCATTGGCAATGAAATTTAGTGCAGAGGTTGCTTGTGGGCCAAGAAACCCAAATCTTCAAGAAAATCCAAGGCGGTAGTAACCGTCAGGTGGCCACCGCCAAGGCCACGCCCAATAGAATCTTCTGAAATATTCCTTCTTTGGTCCCTAAGTCAGAGAATTAGAGTTCCAGTTGTTCATGGAAGCTTTTGACCTAGTCATAGTGTTTAGACACACATATATACACACATCAATAATCGAAGTTATGCCAGAGTAAAACGGAGATGCCTTCATCATCAGCGATGTTAGCTCCATCTCTTATGGCTAACTAAACATGTATTGGTTAATGATGTGAATTCTATGATGCTTTATGCATCTACTTTCTATGATTTAATAAGATGCTTATATCATTCTATGCTTATATAATCTATAATATGTGCTACTATGGTCTTGCTTATAGTACTACCATAAGCTGTTAGGAAACTACTCTTCGGTGGTATGCATTTTCCTTAAGCGTGTATGAAGTGAAGTGCACATACTTTCATGCATGAATGAGGTTGATGTTTGATATAGTAGATCAGCAATGTCATATACCATTGTTATATAGAGGCCTCAAATATCAATGTACTATTCTTACTGATGTGATTCCCGCAATAGCCCATGACACCCGACCAATAGTGCTGAATTCCCCGACCGGGGAATCAAGAGGGAAGCTAGGGGTTGGAAGTAGACCCATCCCCAGGCAGTTGAATTAAAACCCCGACCGTGTTGCTACCCATTATATTGTTCGAGGCTCTTTCCAATTTTGTGTTGAAGTTACACGACAATGCCGCCCTATCCTTTACTTTTCGAGTTGTGGAGAGAAAATATGGGAAAACCCTAAAAAGACCGAAGTTGCGCGACTTTGAAAATAGAACCTAAACTTTCATGAGATCGAGATCTTATCACTTAATTTCTTGTTTAATTGATTAGTTAATGGAATGAAGCGAACGCACGCATAAGCTAGTTGTAGTTCCCTTTGCATGTGGTAAAAGCTCGATTCGTAATGCATTAGTGGAAGGGATAAGGTACCATAATAGATTGATGCATAGATGCATCTTATTAATGAGATTGTATGCATGATCATCTAGATGAAACTACCTAAACAATCACCTTTTGTACTTATTTTCTCATTTCTTTTACCATCTTAATTCTTGCTTTGTTTATAATAGATTTTTTTATCAACCCCTAGGAACCTCAACACATCGTATTTAATTCTATGTTTTCCTATTACTCGAACAAAATTAGTTAGTTTCAAAGTATTTTCTATCAAAAGACTCGTGAAATATGATCCTAGACATACCTAGGACTATTACTTGGCAACACTACTACATATTGCACATCAGGAGGCGGAACTGTGGTGCGTCTTAGAGACCGAATGACTCCATTAATGAGCACAACAACTGGTCTATTTCCCATGTTGCCGACGGTGGAAACCTCCAATCGCGATGAGGCCTAGGTTACAAATCTTGGAATGATGACGTATCTTCCTAGATCGAGCATTGGTGATAGAATTTTTGAAACTTAATGGTCTTGACGATGTTGGACAATGGCTTCACTAGGTGAAAATTGGTTCATGAATTCAGATATCAGGGCGGAGATGAATATGCATGTAGCTTCCTTCTACATAGAAGGAGATGCAGTACGGTAGTAGGAGCGGATGTAGGGATCATGTATGGAGGCAAATCTGCTTATCATTTAGCCGCAATTCAAGGAAGAATTGAAACTTCAATTTGCAAAGGCAGAAGACTGGGCTTCAGACCAATTAGTAAAGTTTAAGCAGAAAGGTATGATTGATGAATACCAAGGTGAGTTTTTAAGGCTAGGTAACATATGTAAGGGAATTCCATAAGAAATTGTGGTCGGTATTTGTTTGGCAAGGTTGAAACCAAAGCTGGTTACTGCGATTAATGTGTATGAGTTGGATTTCTATGAGAGTCGCCTTTAGGATAGCTAAAATG